ATCTTCCTCCTTCTTCAAGAAAACCATTGGCCAACTGCTCCTCCATGGCACGACCGAAGCAACCTGTCCGCAACCATCCTTCCCGGCGTTCACTTCGTCGGCGACAGTCAGCCACCGCCTCTACCGGTGGTAACACTCAGACAGCCACACCCACAGCATCTTCTTCGGACGAGCCCTCTTCATCGGCGACAGGAGGATCTTCCACCTCTAGTGCCGTCGCCACGAGCACCATTGCCGCCTTCCGCAACCTCCCTCCAGCGACTGTAAGTCTCCCTCCTTTTTCTTCCTCCACAAAACACTCATCCCCCAACCACAAATGTACTCTCTTATGATGATGATGGTATGGCTGTCCTCACAAGGGTGGCTTTATCATCTCATTTGGCCGAATCATCTTTAACCCCAAAACCATTCTCCATTTCATTAAGTACCTCTTATGCCCCACCCACTATTGCACCATCACAACCCACCCCTACACCCATCCCCAATGTGGATGAACCAACCCTAGCCCCTTCACCACATGTTTCCCTAAATCACTCACGGTTCGATTTGAACCAAATGGGGGAGGGTGAGGATGAAAGTTTGGATGATATCATGTTTGATTTTGAAGGAATACCGGAGGGAAGACAACCCGAACTTCATGTTCGAGACACCATCGACCATGGGTACCCATAAACAGCCCGATCAAACACCGGTAACAGCCCCTACTGTTGAGAGAAGGCAAACTCGTTCTTCGAGTCAAGCATCGAGTGGGCCGAAGACTAGGTCCCAACAATGGCGGGAAAAAGGAAAGGCAAAGGTGACGAAGGCTCTCGATGATGATTATGAGCCGAAAGAGGAAGAAACTCCAGTCTTGACACCGCAACGAAGACGGACTGTTTCGTGCAATAGAGGTACATCTTCATCCTTTGATGATCGGTTGGATCTTATTCGGAATAATAGATTTCTTTGTGAACGGACTTTTGACCCGAAACTTAGCAAAAAATTGATGTTCGTAAAGCATCATTTGTTTGCCCATCATTGGGAAAACATGATAGCCATCCCATGCAAAATGAACGAGATATTGGTGAAAGAATTTTTCGCAACTATCAGGAGTTCCAAAAATGACACAATTGTCATTCGAGGAACGCGGGTCAATTGGACAACACCGAAGTTAAACTCGGTGGTTGGTCTCATCGCCCCGTTTGTATGTTCATACCGACAATTTATTGATGGTGGATTTGATGTACCGGAAGAAAAGATCGCACGGGCGCATCTTTTACCCGAATACGGTTGGTCTCAAAACAACCTTAGGAAGATTTTGATGTCCGGGCATTTAACGTTAGAAGCAGCCCTGTGGTTTCAATTCGTGCGTCACAATATCATGCCTTCCATGCATGATCGTACATTGTCTCGGGCGAAGTGTATTTTGGTATATTGTATCCTAAAGGAACTTCCAATCGACGTGGGCGCTCTCGCTTATTCAACCATACTAACATCGAATGTGCGAACTAGTTCGCGTTTGGTTTTTCCAGGTTTGATCACGAAGCTGTTGACAGCCACGAGGGTACCTGTTTCGGAGTATGACATCATCACATTCAACCATTCCTTGCTTGATCAAGGAACGGTCAACCACATGCACAAGCCGGATCATGAGAATGTCGACTTAGCCGATGATGCTACCGGACCACAAGTCTCACCTGGACCTGCAGCCAACAGCCCACGAGTCTCACCTGGACCTGCTGCCAATAGCCCACGAAGGCCCGAAGACCTTGCTGTTCCAGCCTCCAAACCAGCCGCAACTACCCCTCCGACCACTACCGACATACCATCGATACCACCTACGGCCACGGGTTATGGTTCGAAGGTGTGGTTGTCACTCATGGCTAGCCAATAGGAGAAATGTAACCAGAAGATGGGGACGATGGTTGATGAGATTACCGAGAGAATCACTCAAGTCGAAGATCGAGTTGCTGGTCTTACGACATGTTCAGAAAAGTTTTGGATGTATACACGAGATAGGAACCGGGTCGTGAACAGGTTTATATCACACAAGAATGTGATGCTAGCTTCGGAGATACCGCACATTCCCGGAGGCCTTTGGCCTCCCCAAGTCAGGCTTCCGAAGATTCGACGGACCACCACACCGGATGCCAAGGGTAAGGCATCCGCTAGTCGGGACGACACGGGTAAAAAAGATTGATTGTCTTCCTAGGTGTTGTGTTATGACTTTTTGAAACTCAAAAACAATATTTTTTGGATTGGGTATTTAATACTTTATCCGACCGCCTCCTTTTGTGTTCATATACGGCGGTTGTTAATTATGGATTAGGTCTTTTGATTAACTGATTATCTAACTTACTTTTGGTTATTATTGGGCGTTGATAATTTGTTGGTATATCGTTGGCTTATTCCTTCATTTTCAGGTGCAATTTCTTTGATGAAATCTTTGGGTTGCAAAAATTAAAAAGACGTGGGTCATATTTCATTTTTTGGCCCAAACACTTTCTATTGTTACCAAACCAAACACTTTAAACCCATTTCTCCAATGCAGACATTGTTCGGTTTAAGTTTGGGGGAGGTTGTATCCCAAAGTATTGAGAAAAAAATTCTTGAAGTACCAAATGTTTTCGGAAAATTGGAAGACACACAAAAATAGAAAAAATAAAGCAAAATGCTTTAACCCAAACACAAAAAGTGAATATAACTTTTTGGGTTTCTTGAAAGTGTCAAATACACAATAAAAAGATGCGAAAAGGCAAAATCATTCAAAGCAATTGTTGTCATTCTAAGACAAGTTTGGGGGAATTTTTTTTAGCCAAAAACACTAACCCGATAAAAGTTCCACCGATTAATTTTTGCACCTTGAATATCAAAGAAAGGAAGTTGCACAACATTCAAGCCCGACAAGATTTCAACGCCCCTCCGTAAGTCATGATTTCTTGTTCCTCTTTGTTCATATTCCTTACATTTTTGTTACTTGAGGACAAGTAATATCTTAAATTTGGGGGTATGATAACTCTTATTTTTAAGAGTTATTTCCTATTTATTTTATCTCTTTTTGTTATTATTAAATACCCAATTTTCTTGTTTTTCTTCTTTTATTCCAAATTTTTTTTAAAAGATGATGAAACACAAAGGAAGAAGTATTATTCCAGAAACCTGTATTTTCTGATAGCATTGCCCACTGTGGCACCACTGTGAGATGTCTACGAACCTTGTTGCTGCTTCTAGGGAAACGTGCAGCTTGAAGATTCATCCAGATATTTTCTCCAGCTGTATATGAGTTGTCTTCCTTCTTCTATTTTATTTTTATTTGTATTTTTTTTAGCCTTGTACTAATTACCCATGGGGTAATAATTGGGTGTACTTGCTCCCTTCCTCTTCCCTATATAAAGAGGCTTGAGAAGTCATTTTGGAGACATACCACAAAAGCACCAACAACACCAAGTAAGACACAAAATACCTTTTGTGTCTCACTTCTTCTGTTTCTTTCTTTTATTATTAAGCTTTTTAATTTATGTCTTCAATCTATGTCTTTAATTTATATCTTTAATTTATGTCTTCAATTTCTAGTCCATTATTTTATTTCTTTGTACTTGTAATTTAGTTTTACATTAATGCAATTTATATTTCAGTATTATTTTATGTCTTTAATTATTATGTCTAGCTAAATTACTCGTATAAGTGTGAGTGTGAGTTTAACTTAGGATGTTTATATAATATTTGGGTGTTTTTTTTATCTTTTATCACTTCCTAACTTAATCAATTAAGACGGGACTTAAACTCGACGCGGATAAGCCGATCACTTTGAAGTGTTAATATTAGATCTTAGACCCAGAGATAGGTGGATCCGAAATATGGCTTAAGTGATGCACAAAGAACTCGAGAGAGTCTTTGAATAATTACGTGGAGACGCGAATTTTGTATGTATTTAGCTAGGGGTTAAACAATAGGTATTATTATCACAAAGAGATTTGGGTAAGAATCGCATTCCTTTTACTTTTTAGCTAGATCGGCAAGTCTCGAAATGATAAACGTAAAAACCTTATGGAATTTTATGAGACCCAGTTATAAAAGTTCACTTTCGAGAGATTGAAACTTTTATAAACAACTCATAAAAGTCTAACCATTGTATTGCTAATTTTATCTTAAGCAACACTTGCACCCATGCTCATTTTTTAATATTAGAAGTTTATTTCATTATTTTGCTAGTCGGTTCTATTTCGGTTTTTTTATAAACAAAAATCCAACTTTTATTTACAACTCGAAACTCGTGCAAGAAGTTCATGAAAAATATCTGAATCTCAGTAGTACCTTTTCTGTAGGAACGATCTCAGTACTTTGTACCACTTTATTACTTGCAAGCGATCATAGTGTCGGCATGCATTTGCACCGCCATTGTGGGGACATAATGCTCACTGGATGAACACGAACGATTCGTGCCTGTCCGTCCCCAATTGCAAAACTTATATGTTGATACCATGGTGGCGGAGAAGACCTAAGCGGTATGTATGTTGAATAACCTGTAATGTCTATAACGTATAAAACAGTTATATGATATAATTTAAAATAATAACATATAAATGATTGTAAGTATATATCATTTTATAAAATATTAAAATAGTTCAAGAAATTTGAAATACTACTTTCTATAAAAGTGATTACATTTCTAAAAAATTCAATCATTTAATTACTTAAAAAAAATGCAACGACTATCTTTGTATATTATTATTTAACATCTTTGTATATTGCTAATACTGTGTTTTTGAAATATGTTTAATGGCGAAAAGGAAGGAAAAGGAAAGTAAAATACTGATTTTCTTAAAAAAAATAGACGAGAGTAAATAAAAGAGAAGAAAAAATAATGATTAGTTTCGTTCCAAAACTTTCCTCCTAAATGTATTTACTGGGCTATCCAAGAATTTATTTAGCTTTTTAGCAAGGTTGCAGATGAATTTGTTTCTGTATCGTTGGTTGAAGATACGCTACCGAGGGTCTATTTGTTAACCGTATAACGAGTCTCACAATATATTCAACCAACCATACATGAAGAATAATAATAATACAATTACAAAACAATCTTGATATCGATATCAACGCCCCTGCCATGCAACAATGGTGATAGATATCCTCACAAGATTGCAGCAAACCCACTCCATTTTATCACTTGCTTTTATTTGCTTATTTTGAAAGAAAAATACGATAGTTTTATGCACGTTTTGTAGTCCTCCCATGCCCCCAATTAGCCCCCTAGAAACTGGCCTTCGTCAGGGACGTCAGTGTAATGGTCGCCCCCAATTCCGAGCTTACCGCCTCCGCCTCAAAAGTATCGTATCGCCGGAAAAATTGAATCAAGAACAACCTTGTGATCAACACAACAAAGTCCTTTCCAGCACATTGCTTATTTGCGACGGACGTATCTTCGGTCTCCGGTCCATTAGACCATACCACGTACTTCAACAGGTCTTCTCCGGCACCGACGAACCGATCGGGGATGAATTCTTCCGGTCGGTCGAATATTATCGGGTCTTTGGTTGCAAATGGTTGGAACCCGAATAACATCTCCCCTTKCTTGACGTTAAAACGAGCTTCATGTGACTCTATTGTAAGATCTACTTTGGCTTTTGCATATTGCAGTGGCACSGGTGGATCGATCCGGAGGGCCTCGTACACGACGGATTTCAGTARTGGCATCTGCTCAATCGCCRSCAATGTAAGGKTACCTMSGCCGAMGGTTTTAATARCACYTCTGATTTCCTSCGCCAATTTCARATGTAAATCTTTTCCGGCGRGGGCCAWCCATTTGAGTRTATTGGGGAATTGGATCTTTATCCCACCAAAAGTATTGAAACAAACAGCGAATAAGATRTTRTGTGCAGYTTCKTCTRWCGGAATCCCTAATRTTGCTCCGTACTCMAASATCGGAGTAGCAACGGAYATGAAGTAATCGTAAAGTYTCTGGTAACTGCTCTTTATCAGGAACGCCGGCAACTGGAATGTGTGCATAAGAGGTTCCTCCAAGAACCATGGAAGCCCGATGCTGATCTGCGGCGCAAGACTGAATAAAACCCACGCCGTAATCAGCTTCGGAGCATCTTTTCCGAGCTTCGTTTCTTCTGGGTTGCTGTTAAAGAAAGCCCGGCCGAGAAACCGGAAAGCGGCTAGTTCACCTACGTCATTGAAGGCAGCTTTACCGTTTTGGGCTAAATCGACTTCAAGAGCTGCAAAGAGTTCGGTGTATGTCTCTTCGAATTTTGGAATGACTCTGGTGGAGGATGATTGGAGCATGTAGAACAGTAGGTTCTTAAGCTGAGTGTGTCTCAGCTCCGATGGGTCTAGGTAGGMGAGAACACGGTAGCCGCCGGTGAGTTTGGTCGACGGCAKGTAAGTTCCGGTGAACAMATCTTTCTTTTCGACYTTGGWGACATCAAAGAGTATGGGAAAGCTTTTGGCGTCAAGGAGAACGATGACTTTTGGGTTGCTAGCGATGAATGGACCAGGTGGCATGTTGGCTCGGAACACCGTCGACTGGTACTTGTCAGCGCGGGACTTGAAGTAGGCTTCTCGGCCCCCGGCGGCGTAGAAATACTCGAGTCGATCCTTGATAGGGCTGAAAAAGGGAATTCCATAGGAACCTGGGATTTCACGGAGAGGGAGCTCGTTGGTAGGATCTACATCGATGACGGTGGAGGAGGTGGTGAGTCTGGCTGCGCTCTCGAGGGAAGTAAGAGAGGAAGACATTTTTGGGAGTGTGGAGAAAATGGTATTCAAGGTGAAGTATATATAGAGACAATGGATATATGTGGAGAAGAGTATCGATGTGCCTGTTGCTGTTGGAGAAGATGATATCAATGTGCACAGTCTTACGGAGAAGATGAATATTGATGTGCACAGTCTATTGGAGATATCTATTCGAAGAAAGGGTGTTACACAAAATAGAGGGTTAAAATAGTAAACCGATAATAAGTTGATTTTCATAAGTCAAGAAGGTTTAATTTATCAAAAATTGCTTATTATCGGTTTGATACCGGTATAAGCAGTTTTTTTCTTCCTACCCAAACACTAGAAAACAACTTATCTCCGATGTCAGACTGAAATATGTTAAAAAACAGTTTTGATAAGCAATCTCAAACACCTCCTAAATATCTCTTAGACGGTTGAATAAGGATTTTGATTATTTACCATAAAGTTTGTAATAAGTGACATTTTTCTTATTTTTAGGTAATAGATTGCGCAAGAATGAATCTAGACCTTTGATCATATTTAATCTTAAACTCATTCATGAATCACGTTTGATACAAGATTGATTCGGTGGATCTCATCTCAATGTGCATCTAATGTGGAAATCCCTTTTATATTGTTCACCTTAACTTTTATTCTCACCGAAACCCATCTCATAATTATTTATATATACTAAATGATGTTGGAAAAATCAACATGACCTACAAAAAAAAGAGGTTCTTATTGTAGAGTTTCTGAGAGAGTTCTTAATTTGATGAGTGAAAAAAAAAATATAAGAAAAGGTTCTTATAGAAAACCATATTAAAGATGTTCTTATCATCAATGTCATCTCCTCTTATATTATTGATTACTAGAAAGGTATTCGTGCAATGCATTAAGACACATCTTGATTTCAGTGTTTTATTTTATTCTTCTTTTATGTGGTTTTGAGAAACCGATAATGTTTTTATTTTTGAATAAAATATAAATTTGAAAATATCATAAAATTTTGATAAAAAAATATATCGATATCAGTATTAAATTAATATTTTTAAAAATTCTTGTGTTTCGATGTAATTTTCTTAATTCAATTTTTTTAATTATAATTTAATTTAGTTTTAGTAACAAAGAAATTTAATTTAGGTTTAATAATATAATTTTTTATAAAGATAATAACTAAATATTTTGTTAGAACTCAATGATTATCCTAATTATATTTTAGATTTTTTATATTTAACATGAGATGTTTATCCAATATATTTGACTATGTTTATCTGCAGTTAGTTACACGAATTCAAATATAGAGCTTTAAGAAGTTGTACTTATGCACAATTTACTTGTAATCTTAAATTTTATTTAATATGTATCAATAAACAATACTTCGTGCATAAAAATTGGTTTTTAAGAGTTTTTATCAAATGTTTTATAATATAGTATAAATAATCAATAAAATTAAATTATTTAATTCATTAAATACTATTTTATACCCTATTTTATCACGTTAAAAATAATGCATTAATATTATATTATCCCTATGATTAAAAATATTTAAATACTAATCAATTATTACTATATTATACTATTTTTCACTGTGTTTATTTTGTTTAAAAAAATGCATGAATAAAAACAAAACATGAATGCTATCAAGATAATGTTTTAAAACAACTACTATTAGTACCAGGGCTGTAAACGAATCGAACGAACACAAACGGAGGCTTGTTCATGTTCGTTCGTTTAACTTAACCTAACAAACGAACGAACACAAACGGAGGCTTGTTCATGTTCGTTCGTTTAACTTAACCTAACAAACGAACGAACACAAACGGAGGCTTGTTCATGTTCGTTCGTTTAACTTAACTGAACAAAACGAACGAACGCGAACGGTAAACGAACGAAAATCTTTGTGTTTGCGTTCATTCGTTTAGAAATCAGGTATGTTCGTGTTCGTTTATGTTCGTTCATTAACATGCTAAACGAACGTAAACGAACGAACATAAACGAACGGGCTAAACGAACATAAACGAATATTATTTGAATTCAAAGTATATAATCAAAAGATTATATATTAAATTCAATATATAAACGAACGAATATAAACGAACGGTAAATGAACGAACGTTCCCGAACATAAATGAACGAACAAGACTCTTGTTCATGTTCGTTCGTTTAACTAAACGAACAAAAAAATTTGTTCATGTTCGTTCATTTATTAAATAAACGAACATAAACGAACTTCCCACCAAACGGTTCATGAACGGTTTGCTAAACGTTCGATTCGTTTACAGCCCTAATTAGTATAAAGGAAATTCATTTAGCGTCCCTTTTCACCTTATAAGCATCTTCTCGACGTGATTGACGATTTAGCCAAAAATTAATCAAATATCATTATTCAATTTATCTTATCAACTTTTCCCAATAAAATAATAAAAAAATGGACGTTGTGTAAGTAACATAATTGCTACTTGATAATGCTTACTAACAGTGTGGCACAAAAATATTTAACTCGGACTGCCACATAAATCCGACCTGCCAACTTGTCCGCTCCTATGGTCACAATCCAACCGTCTATTCATCACTATAGCCTCATGACCGAACACTAGTTTAACATCTATTGAAGTCGGTTAAAGTGGTGAAACATTCGGATTAGCAACATAAAAATTACGACACTGACACTACAATAAAATCGGATTTATAGGACACTCTCAATTTCTAAGCGTCCTAATAGACTTCTTTATAAGACTTAGTTTATAGGATCAAAAAAATAAAACGTCATATCTAAAGGCGTTGTAATAAGTTTATATGACGTTTTTTTACGTCATAATAAGTTTTTTAAGACATTTTTAATATAAAGCGACCCATTAGCAACTTTATACGACATTATTTGAAAAACTGTCCTATAAAAAATTGAGTTTATAGGACACTTTCTCAAAAAGTGTCCTATAAAGTTGCTAATACGACACTTTGTCCTAAAAACTTGTTAAGACGCCCAAAAACGTCATATAAACTTATTACAAAACCTTTAAATAGGACGCTTTATATTTTAGTCCTATAAATCAAATCCTATAAAACGGTCTATTGGGACGCTTAGAAATTGAGAATGTCCTATAAACCCAATTTTGTTGTAGTGTGACTTCTCTTAATTTTGTATAGTTCCAATTTTTGCTAGGTTTTTGTAAACAACTTTTAACCTCTAGTAACTTATTGTTAAGAAGTTGATTTTTATTAAGTATAGTTTTTGTTTTTAGTAGTTGAACAAATGGTTGAGCTTAATTACAAGCTTCATTAAGGGGACGTCGTTTACCAAACACTTACCCTTTAAGTGTTTATTGGTAAAATTTAATACTATTAATTACTTACCGGGTAAGATTTTAGTCTATCAAAACGACATTGTATGCAATAATTCACCCGGTAAGCACTTACCGTGGTCACAGTCGTCGCACTCACTTAACGGGTAAGATTCATGGTCCTTGTTTCGTTCTTATCGGGTAAGATTCTTAGTTCTTACCATATTCATTCGGTGAGATAATGTGACTTGGTAAGCGCTTACCTAGGTAAGTGTTTGGTAAACGACCCTTAAGACTTGCTGAAAAGATTGTCACCCAACTCTTCTCATTATTGATTAAGTCACATTTTATTCAAAACTAAACATTGTGAATAAATAGCTAATCATAATTATTAGAAGCAATATTTTGTAGGAACTTTGATCCATTTCAAGTTGATTGATTTGAATCCTATGGTTGGTACCTAGATTATTGGGGTGTTTGTGATTGCTTATAAAAACAACTTATTGACTTATTCCAGTGTGGTACCGGTAATAAGCATATTTGGGTGTTTGGGTAAACAATTTATACCGGTGCCAAACCGGTAATAAGAAGTTTTTGAAGAAGTTAAACCGTTCTGACTTATAATAAATTGATAAATGCTTTTGTAGAAAAACATAAGTTGTTTCAAATAAACAATCCCGAATAACCCTCTATATTTAGAGTATACTATACTTTTGATATAAGTGGTTGTCACTCATTTTTAATAAGTTTCGTCCATATTTTAAATTAATTATATTTTTAATCATTGTGGTATTATACTTTGATCCCTCTCACCGGCTTCGTTAAATAAATCCTTAACTTATGGCTAGTTTGGTATTTTTATTATTATTTAAATTATCAATTAAAAGATTAAACAAATTTCTTATCATTATTTATACTATATTATAAAATATTTGATAAAAACTCTTAAAAACCATTTTTTATGCATGAAGTAATGTATATTACTTAAAATTTAAGATTACAAGTAAATTATACATAAGTACAACTTATTAAAGCTCGATGTTTGAATTCGTATAACTAACTGCGGATAAACATAATCAAATATAGGATAAACATCTCATTTTAAAATATAAAAAATCTAAAATATAATTAAGATAATTATCGAGTTCTGACAAAATAATTAATTATTATCTTTATAAGGAAATTATATTATTAAACCAAAACAATGCATTACAGAAATACACAAAAAAAAATTAAATACTTAGTTTGGTACCTTTTAAAATATTTTATAATATTTTCATATTTATATTTTGTTCAAAAATAAAAACATTATCACTTTCTCAAAACCACATAAAACCGTATTATAATATTGATTGCGACAAAAAAATAAAATAAAACAATAAAATCAAGATGTATATCGCTGTATTGTGCGAATACCATTATAGTTACAATTATAATAATTATTATTTATATGTCCATATAAATGTTAAGAACTACCAACAATTAACATTTCTAGCTCCGACTTAGATAGGGTTTTTTTGTTAGGTTAAACCTATTATTGAGAATCGCAATTAGTGGCTTTAGATGATTTCTAGCTTTCAAACAACACAATACCATATCGCTACTACAAATTTCACTTTCATACACGGTTTTACAACCGTGTGTATGAAAGTATTAGTTTTTTAGAACCATGTACGAAACTCATATTTATATACAGTTTCTAAAACGTATAAAAATATGTTTATAACTATGTACGAA